AGCCTTGACTTGTGGTGAGTTTGCGTGGGAAACAAGTGCACGCAGACGCAGACTATCTAGAACCTTCAACAGCAGTAGGTGCATGCTCGTTACTTCTTATTAATATCTGGAAGCTGTACTTGACATTTATCTTTGATTGCCAAGTCAAGCGCAGAAGGCCCCCGACAGAACCGTTACCCCCAGGGTGACTATGCATAAGTTAGCAAACGGTTTTCTGCTTATGATGTTCACCGTGACTGTTTGCACCTTCCCTAGTTCTACACCCCGGCAACGGCTCGCAGAGAAGTTTGTTGGTTGTATTTTCCAGCCCATGCGCGTTTCCAGCCCAAGCTGTGGCAAAGCCAGAGCTGTCCAATGCAATTTTCAGCCGGAAGAGCTCGATGGAAGAAGGAGATAGTCCTCGAGGTGAGAGGATTACCCAGCACAGTGACGGAGCAACAGCAAGTTCAGCAGATGAGTGCAGTATCAATCCATCTCAAGCAGGTTCTTTGAAGGCCTCTGGAAAGAAGAAGAACAAAAAAAGCACCAAACTGATGAAGAAAGGGAAACTCAAAAAGAGGGACACCAACGAGGTGTCTTCGCTGCAGCAAGTAGTTGTCCAACAGGATATGTTCGAGCAAGAAACGCCTCCCGAGCAGAGTCTGGCAAAGGATCTCCAACGCCGAAATGCAGCGGATGAAGATGTGGGCACTATGCCACGTGAGTCTGCCTCTACTCGGCTCAGTTATGGATTCGATGCAGGTGACCACGACGATGCTCCGCTCCCATGTCCAAATTGTGGACACCATCGCACATCCTATGTACCACACAGAGGGGGCTTGAAGAGGACAAAAGGCACCAGAGAGCGCAGAGTTGGGATTTCCAACGGTCGTGTGGATGTCAAAGAATATCAGGAAGACGAGGACATAGAACCCGGGGCCCGGGTCGTCAAGCGGAGATCCAGCGCTATGGCCGTTTTGCAATCATTAACCAACACCAGTGAAGGAGGATTCAGCTGCTGCGCCCATGTCCTGCTTGCCTTGATTGGCGGCGGCCGTCAGACCCGAACATCTTGCCAACAAGCTGCCGAGGCTTTCCAAGCTGGAGATGGCTGCAGTTGCTTTCTTTACCTGACCATCATTGTATTTGGACACTTGTTCATTTTTCTCCTGCCTCCTGCCTTTATTTTTTGTGGACTGACATATGTGCATCAGAAAGGGCCACGTGTGGAAGACATTGAAGAGTTGGTGAAGGTTTCGAGCAAACAACCCTACTGGATGATTCTGATGACAAGTATTCTTGGAGCAGCGTCAACAGCGTTGATCATGGGGCCGCCTGCATTCAAAGCAGGCAGTACGGGAGCTTGGCAGACCATGGGTAGAATTGCCAAGATTGTATTCACCCTCTATCTCCTCTTCAGGACTGTTTACACATGGGGTGAGGAATTGGCAGTTCTGAGAACGATTTTTGACCGGGAGTTTTCAAGGCATCTTGGCTTGTCCACGGTGGTTCGCACATTGATGCTCTCCATGGTGCAATCTGCTACCAGCTCCCAATGGAGCAGGTACGCTGATCAGCTTGTTTTGATGCTGGTGTACAACGACTACCTCAATTTCAGGAAGGCTCATGAAGATGGATTTGTGAAGAACTGGCGCCAATACATGGACACTGTTGAGAAAGCTGAGGAGGGCAATGAGTTAACCATGGTAGCCTTCAAATCCAGACCGTACAGCAAGGAGAAAGGTGGAAAAGGAGGCTTTGCACCTTCGATGCTAGACCCCAGGCGGTTGATCTTTTTGATACAAGAGATGACAAAGAGTAACGGACTAAAATCCAATGCTCCGTGGGAGGATGGGAAAGGGCAGACTGCCTACGGCCGTTGGCGTACAAGAATCTGGGCATGCTTTCATTGGTTAGGCAGGGTGGAGGCCATCGCTAGTAGGTCGGAGGCCATCGCCAGTAGGTTGGAGGCCATCACTAGTAGGTTGGAGTGCTTTCTTTGGTTAGGCAAGCTGATCTTCACGATGTACATTGCGGTGCTGCTGGTGCGTTGCTGGACCTTTGGATGGGGTGTTGCCCTTGTGTACTTCCCTCTCTTCACAATTCTTTACCCATGGGTGATTCTCATTGTGCTGATGTTTATGATTCTCATGCGATTAATTTTGGTGGAGTCTCTGATGTGGATTCTGATCAAGCTGGGCAACCAAGGCACGGAAAACAAGCATAAGGTTTTGCGTAATTTGTATATTGCTGTGGGCATGAATCGTATATCGCAAAATTGAGGTCCAGCCCTCCACGAGGTTGTTTTCAATCTTGCTTTCCCACTTGCATTTGCGTGCCATTGCATGTCATTTTCCAGTGAAGCTTTTGTCGACTTTTTGCTGTATTGAAATTGCTCCTGCGGAAGGCTGCTGCGACAGATTGCTAGCTCTTTTGCGACTGCTGTGTTGCCGTGGTGACAGGGAGGTGGAAGACTTGGATTCAGAGCTTCATTTTGAGACGCCAGATGGCAATCCAGACACAATTAAGCTATACCCCCGGCCCGGGCATCATGTTAGTGTCGATGATGACCGCAAGCATTTGCGCACCATTGCAAATGCAATGGCTTCAACAGGCTTTTTGCCTGGGAACTTTGATCGAGCATTATGGCCTCAGCTTCAGTGTTGTGGGAAGCCCATGCCAAGACTTCCAGGTCTCTTGTACACAAACATCTCCTCAGAGAAAGGCTCGCAAGAAGAGCTGAGAAGAAACTACGAACATGAAGTGGCGGTTCTTCAAGCTACTGGCATCACTCGAGACGGATGGTGTTACGTGATCATCTATGCAGCCATTGGCAAAGTGATGGTGGACTTCATGGTTGTGGTTCTGACACGCTTCATGGCGCCTGGGCTGCACGGCCATAAAGCTCAAGGCGATGAAAAGCAGTCGCACACTTCCAAGAAAGTATTTGTCAGAGGTTGATAGCGGCTTTGATTCGTTGCCACCGTTAAATCCGAGGCTGGAGTTGGCTATATGGACTGCGTTGTGCTGACTCTGACAGATCGCAGCTGGCAGAGGTGGATGGAGCAGTTCGACTACATGGACACAATCAACAGGATTAATCGATGGGCAACATGTCTGGAAAAGACAAATTCATTGGCTATTTGCTGACTTTGCGTGGGTTTGACAGAAGTTGGTCAATTCGCCCTTGTGGCTGTGAAATCTAAGGTTAATGCGATTTGGTGACTTCTTGTGTGCCGCGTTTGCCGAACTTTTCTGAGACACCTCGGCCAAGCCCTGGTGCAACAACTATTTGATCTCCTGATGCTTGACATCAAGTCGCGAAATGGCCTTTGTTTGTTCAAAGACGTTTCATTACCAAC